AGATCAAAAAAGGTCCCTCTTTGTAGTATTTAAAAGTATAGCTTTAAGAGGTATACCTGAGTCTGCTTGCTTTATAATGATTTATTTGAAGTGGATTTTAATCAGTAAGTGCATAGACCTTTTACTTCTATATTTTATCAAAATCCAATCCTTAAAATACTGTTTATAATAGGACATTTGAAGTCTTCAGATTAGAGATGTAATCTGTATATATTTTTTAGCCAGCTATGTTAGAATTTATCTTTTCAGGATAAATCAGCCTTTGCAATTAAATCTGCAGAACATGGTTTGCGAACCAGCAGGCTGCATACTGGATGCAGTGCTTAAAACCTCCCAATGCAGGTTGTCTGGTTCCCCCTCTCAACAGAGCAGGTTTAAAAACAAAACTGCTGATGCCAGTTAAAACTTTTAATTCCTAAAAGAACTAAGACACATCTGGAGAGAGGCGTGGTAGACTTCCCCATGTGCTGTGTTTCCTCAGTCATCTCCTTTGCATAACAGTACCAGTATAAACTCTTCATAAGCAAAATTAAGTTTGTGCTGTTGTGTATTAAAGATGTGCTAAAAAGGAGAGAGAAAAGGGAATACTGTAGAGGAAAGAAGGAGGAATGAGAGTGGAAGAAAGAAGGTTTCTAAATGAGCGGGGGTGGGAGGAATGCCCTGCGGAACAGCTGCTAGCATGTGGCCTCTTAAAATCTTTCACCAGAGGGGATGCAGATGGTTTACCACCATTGTCACGGAGATTGCTTGTCCCCAGAGGTTTTTCTGGTCTGCCTGCCCTTTCAAGTACAGTCTTACCATGCTCTGTTGAACTTGGTAAAGCATAGTTCTGAGGAAGCATTTTTCAATTATATTGCTAGTGCGGGTGTTAAGAACCAGAAAGAAAAGAATCACTAGTGTTTCTGGTTAACATAGGCCTCTGTATGGGCTGGTTTAGGGCACTTGTTACCTCAGGCATCTTGATTAAGGTGACTGTTTACAAGGATATATCTATTTGATTTGCTTCTTTAATTGTTTCTGTCTCCTTTTTGTGTGTCTCCTTATGGCCTCTAAATTTTCTGTGCTCCCTGCTGTCTTTTGTACTGTGTCGTTTTCATCATGTGTTGTTTTTCTTTACCTGTATTTACAGTTTTACAGTTTACCTTGTTTTACAGTTTTTCTTCAGGTTTACTTCAATTTTCTATATTAGTGCTTCATGGTTTGTATCAGAGATCCCCAACCGACGGTCCGTGGCCCGGTGCCAGTCTGTGGCCTGAGCCGGACCGGGCCACGGAGACAGACCAGCTGCCCCACCCCCTGCATGCACTCACTCCCGCACAGCTGATTTGTGCATGTGCGCGCATGCCCCACTGCGCCTGTGCGAGCACCATGCTGCGGTTTGCGAATGCGGACCTACAAGCACCACACCATCATTTGCGCATGCACACAAGCACCCCCGTGCGCACCCACACCAGCACTGCCTCGCTGCCCCGTGCCCGCACAAGCATAGCACGTCATTTGCACATGTGCACGAGTGAGTGCGCACCCACACCAGCACTGCCTCGCTGTTTGCACATGTGCGCACACATGCTCGTTTGTGCATGCACATGAGCGCAGGGGGTGTCCCGCCTTCCCCAGCCGGTCCGTGGGGTGAAAAAGGATGGGGACCCCTGGTTTACATTACATTCAGGTCCTGGTTTTGTTATTGCAGGAAGAATAGACCTTCTCCATTTTTTACTTCCAGTTATATAGTCTGTTTTCTGGATTAGCCATCTGGCTTTCCATGTGTGCTGTCATCTGTTCAGTTGCTTGAAAAATGTATTTCTAATAAACAAATTGTTGTCTTCACAGAATTCTGTGAGTCACTGATTCATTTCTGATTCCTGAGGCCAAATTCTCTAATAATATTGACTGTGCTTTCTTTCTTTTATATGACTTTGCTTTCTTTCCTACTTTTATATTCCAACCACCGCTCAGAATGTCCTGTTTTGGTATATAATCAGTGATCTCTTAGATACTTGCATAAAAGCTTTCAAAGCTTGATTCTTTTTCAGCATCTGTAGGTGGAGCATAGACTTGAATGATTGTATTGCTAATAGATGGTCCATAAAGAGTGATTGATATTAATTGATAAGATTTTGCATCATGGTTCTTAAATGTTTGAGATGTGTCATGGCTGACTATTAAAGCTATTCCATTTCTTCTGAGTGGATCATTTCCAGAGTAAAATAGTTTATAATTATTTGATTGTAGTTAACATAGTTAAATCCACCCTAGTGGGCTGACACCAAGTTCTGTGATCTTCCATTTCTTGTTTTGCAATTTCAACTTTGCCTTGATTCCTTATTCCAGCATTCCAGGTTCAGATATATATTGTGCAGGTCTGGACTTTCCTTTTACTTCTGTGATCATCAGCAATTCTTGGCCTCGGCCCAGTTAGTTCCTGAAGAACAGCCTTTTGGCTGTAGTCCAGTTGCTTCATTAAGAATAGCACTACTCATACTTACCCCTAGTAGCTGATTGCCAGCCTTCTGTAGTGGGATTTTGGTCTTGTTTTGTATTGTCTTCATGGTAGGGTTTTTAAGGTATAAAGAATTCGGAGGCAGTTTGCCTCCTTCTTCACCATACTAACAAGAGTAGTATGCTGGCCGGACCAGCATTCCTGCCTTCGGGGGAGTCTCCATCATCTGCCATCCCTCAGGCACTGAGTGAGAGACAGTGTGGCTGTGCTGCCGCCAGTTGCCAGCCTTCCTGGGGGAGTTTGGTCTGGACTCCCTCGGCCTTGCAGGACTGTGCCCTTGCTGCCTCTGGCTGCCCTGCCTTAGTATACTTCGGGACTGCGGGCGATGAAGTGAGAGGGGAGACAGCTGGAGCGCAGGTGTATGAAATCCCGCTGGGAGTCTGATTGAACACGACTTTGAGCCCATTATCGGTCCTATTTCATGACAATATGGCTGGCGAAATGGCAGTATTTCTCCAGCCGTATTGCTTCCTCAGAATGTTGTCCAGCAGAGCCGTTTCAGGTGGTCTGGGATCTTCAACCGGGAAATCCAGAGGAGGTTCTGGACTGCTCAGCAGCTGGCTGTGATGAGTTTCCCATTCATTTTGAGGGGAAAATCGCTCAGATTTGCAGTGGGTTGGACACCACCGTTACTGCAGAATCAGAGGATGTGTCCAGTGTGCTGTGCTTAGGTCAAGTATTAATGGATGAGTTTCAATTGTTGAGACCTGAGGATGTGGACAGGGTGCTTGGATCTGTCCATTCTACCACCACTCCGCTCAACCCTTGCCCATCTTGGCTAATTGGAAGATCTGCCAGGGGGTTTGCACCTGGGTCTAGGAGGCCGTATAATGCCTCTTTGAGAGAGGGAGTGGTCCCTACCACCTTGAAAGAGGTGGTAATTCGGCTACTCCTAAAAAAAAGCCTAATCTGGACCCAAAGCTGGTGGCTGTCAAACCTACAGTTCAATGCATTCCAATGGGGTGTGTGTGTGTGTGTGTGTGTGTGTGTTTAGTCGTTTAGTCGTGTCCGACTCTTCGTGACCCCATGGACCAGAGCACGCCAGGCCCTCCTGTCTTCTACTGCTTCCCGGAGTTGTGTCAGGTTCATGTTGGTTGCTTCGCAGACACTGTCCAGCCATCTCATCCTCGGTCGTCCCCTTCTCCTCTTGCCATCACACCTGCAAAGGTTTTACAGGGTGCACTAATGCTTCCAAGCATTTTAAACAGTTTTTGAACATTTTAAGACACACTTAAAATAGCAAAAACGGACATCACTAAGGGGACCTAAACTGTCATCGCTAAGCGAAGCAAGGTCCTGAAAATCGCTATGTGAAATTTCCCCATTGGAAACATTGCTAAACGGAGCGCAAGATCGCTCCAAAAATTTCATTGCTAAGCAAATACATTGTTAAACGAGGCAATCGCTAAGCGAGGCACCACTGTACCTCCTTTTTGGCTGTATGGGGGAGGGACGGCTCTCCAGTGAGAGGGATACTACTCTCGCCCCGTCTCACATCTGCAACAACACCATTCCATTTGTATGCCATATTATTAGGGTAACATATGAGAATTAACCATGATTATCCATGTGTGTGCACACATGCACACTTATTGATGTATGGAAACTGGTAGATATTTAAAGTACGCAACCTTTAATACTTGATGCTCTTCAGTTTCTCTCTTCAAAACAAATTATTTGCTACTGGGGAGGCACTGCACCTTTGGGGTTGCAGTATTCCCATACTTTTCTTGTGGTCTCCCATCCCCATCAAAGTTTCCTTCTGAAAAATCACTTTCCTGCAAAAAAAAAAAAAGGTGAACTGCTTCTGGAAGCCTCCAGGAGCAGTGATTTCTCTTTTATACGTATAGTGTATCTTCTAGCTTAGTATCTGGAAACATGCAAACACCCAAAAGTGGTAAGGGCTGTGTACCACAGATTTAAAATAGAATTTTGCTCCATGGCTTTTCTTTGTACAATGGAATGGGTGTTTTGTGCTTCTACCAGTTAATTGTCTCCTTAAGCACTTTTAAATGAATTAAGCCAAATGGAAAACCTATTCCTCCTGTTAAAAAGCTAGATTGTCCTTCAGTAACCTCTAGTTAATTGAAGTGCTTGAATGGCTCCCATTAGTTCCATGGAGTACTTTTTTTAAACATATTGTCATCATGTATGCTTCCAGAATGATTCATTCTAGTCCTGAAATCTATCATAAATTATGTGAGTAATGATGATTATTGAATTCATGTGCCTTATTTCCACAGTTAAATATATTGTGTGATACTAAACTATTGACAAGGAAATTAATTGAGTCAGAGTTTTTGTCTGTTAGAGGATTTAATGTAGCCTTCATTTTGTCGCTGGGTATATGGTGTTCTGTCTGATATTTCATCTGCAGCATATTTTAATACTTTGGGGATAGTACTGAAAATTTGGATTTAATAAAAATTGAAATAAATGTAATTTTATTTGTGAGGAAATCTATTTACTTTTACTTACCATTATTTGTTACATATTTCAGGATATGAATCCTTTCAAAACAAGCTTTAAAAGTGTACACAAAGATGAATTAGTGGTACCATTGGCAGAGAGGAAAATTAAGCTGGAGCAAGCTCAGAGGTAGTCTGCTTCTTTCTCTTTTGCACCTGCAATCTTTCCTACATCATTATTAGTGGTAGATGGCACTGTGGAGGAAGGATGTGTGTTTTTAGGCTATTACAGTGCATCAGTTATTATATTGCTTAAAACTGTTGTATTTCAACATCCATAAAGCCATCTCCATATAATATCTATTGTAGTCCTCTCACATGCAGGTTTCCAGAACACAAATAGCTGTCATCTTTCCATACAGTGGGGTCTTGACTTGAGAACTTAATCCGTATTGGAAGGCAGTTCTCAAGTCAAAAAGTCCTCAGGTCAAATCTGCATTTCCCATAGGAATGCATTGCAAACCATTTGATCCGTATCTGCTCTTTTCCATCCATAGAAACTAATGGGAAGCTGCTATTCCGCCTTCAACCACTGGAGGGGGATATTTTGTTTCTTTTTTTCTGAGGGCAAGAAAGGTTCAGGGAAGGCAGGGAAAATACAGTCCAGGCAGTACAGTGGACCCTTGACTTACAGAATTAATCCGTATTGGAACGGTGGCTGCAGGTCAAAAAGTCTGTAGGTCAAGTCTCCATTGAGCTACAGTGCATTGAAAACCGATTAATCCCGTAACAGGCCATTTTTGTTCCATTTTGGTTTTTTTCTGGTCTGTAAGTCAAATCTCAGTCTGCAAGTCAAATCTAAATTTTGCGGCCAGAGAAGTCTGTAACTCAAAAAGTCTGTAAGTCAAGGGTCCACTGTATTTGTATCCAGAAGAGGTCAAAATATGTACCAGCCTCATTGGTGTTCTGTGCCATTCTTGCAACCTAGATGTCAACTGATAACCACTAGCCAGGGTGGATGAGGTTTAGAGCAAAATGATTTAAAACATGATTTAAATACAAAATTGGACTTTTTACAGTTTGAATTAAAAGATCTATTTTAATTTAAATTGCAATTTAATTTGTTATTTAAATCAGTTTGATTTTTTTAAAAATCATGGATTTTTATCCACCTTGCCTCTAGCTGAATCTGAACATTTCTGGATTACGAATGTATTCCTTTCTGGAATTTTAATTCTATTTAGTAGAAACACCTCCTCTTGGGACAGATGAACAACCCACTGCCGGTACATCTGTCCTGTTTCAATTCAGCTTCAGTTTTTTAGTCCTCTTTCTGTTACTTCACCATATGGTTACTGTTTTAACACTTAAACCATCTCACTATATTAAATGTAGAAGAGAGGATTGAATATCACCTGCATGCAATAGGGAGAACAGTGATCAAAGAAAGGAGATTGGCAAAGCATGTGATCCTAGGCCAGGCTTTGTACCTAGGAAGGCAGGAACATGCAGAGGGAAAAGGATCTCTGGAGGATACCTGAATCATGGGAAAATAAATCTGTTCATTGGAGAAGGCTATTGAAGGGAAAAATATATATAAGACAAGGAACTTATCAACAGGAAAGCAAGTAGCCTGCATTGTCTCCTCCTCCTATCTCCAGAGCTAGATATAGCTCGTAAGTGGATCAATTTCTTCATTGGTAGGGAATTACCATGGAATGGGATCCAAGATTCATGGAGCAATGTCACAACGGTCAAAATTGTTTGTTGAATGGCCATATTATGAAAAGTAACCTTTAAATACTTCTCTTCTGTTTATTGCTAGTTAACACATTATCTATGAACTAACATCTCCCTCAGAAAACATGCGGTGGTGATGGTGAGAAGTTTGAGGTGATGCTATAAAATTGGTGGTGAATATATTGCATATGCTTGCTGAATATTGCTGGGAGGCCAAAATGATTCTTCCTAGTTGCTTTCCTGCAACTATACATTAAGCTTTCCTGCTGAGCTTGAAAAGGAGGATTTGTATTTGCTTATGCATATTCTCTAGGCCCAAATTACAGTATATGGTGGAGGTCCTACATTTCAAAATAGTGATGGTGTGTTGAGGACATGTCTCTCCAGATCTGTTACAGATTATATATGCACTTTGTGCCTCTCCTAGATGAGGCATCCTGGAAATGCTTCTTGAGTGAAACGACAGAGATGTAAAATAGTAAAGAGTGGGTTGGCTGTGTGGATGTCTGTCCTCTGATCCTTGTGTCCCTCTAACCCAGTAGCGATTCTGGCAGTGAATTAGGTCTCCTGTTGAGGACTAGAAAGGTGTGAAGGGAAATTTTGGGAGAAGTATATTCATATGAATATGGCAGTTTTCAACTTTTAATTGAGACACTAACAATCAGTGTGAATTTTGTTGTAGTTACATGTTGTCAAATCACCTCTGACTTTACGGCAGTCCTATGAATGAGTGATCTCCAAAATATCCCATTTGCAACAGCTCTGCTCATCTCTTGTAAATTCAAGATTGTGACTTCCTTTATGGAATCAGTCCATCTCACATTTGGTCTTCCTAATTTCCTGCTGCCTTCAACTTTTCTCAGCATGTCTTTTCCAGAGAATCCTGCCTTCTTACTATGTGCCCAAAGTATGACAATGTCAATTTTGTCATTTTTCTTCCAGAGAAAATTCAGGCTTGATTTGCTCTAGAAGACACCTGTGCATCTTTCTGGCAGTCCAGAGTTATCTGCAAAGCTTTCCTCCAGCACTATTTCAAATGCATATTTTCCCCTGTCAGCTTTCTTCATTGTTCTGCTTTCACATCAATACCTAATGATTGGGAATACTAGAATGTGGGTGATTTTAGCCTTGGTCTCCAGTGACACATCCTTACACTTGATCTTCTTTAATTCCTTAATTGCTGCCCTTCCAAGTCTCTGTCTTCTTCTGATTTCTTGGTTGCAGTCTCCCTTTGGATTGATAATTGATTCAAGGTGTAAAGATCTTTAACAATTTTAATTTTGTGATTGTCAGCATTAAAGTTGTGTAATTCTTCTGTTGTCACGATTTCGATCTTCATGCAGCCCTGCTTTGGCATTTCTTCTTTCACTTTCACCAAAATTCATTGCTGCTTTCTTCCAGTAACATGGTGTCATCTGCATTTCTTAAATTATTAATGTTTTTTCCACCAGTTTTCGCTCTTCCATCCTCTGAATCTAATCCAGCTTTTTGAATGATAGATTCTGTGTACGGATTGAATAGATGAGATAAAATGGAATGTATAGTGAATGCTTAAAGTCTGTGGGCCTTTGTTTTATTTCTATATTTGTTATCATATTCTTGTTAGGATTTTGACAAATTCAGTCTCTGTGGCTTGAAATAGTACAGTACTATCACTATCCCTCACTTTTTAAAATTACTGATTCATCATAGGATTCCTCTTCACAGGAATCGGTCATCCTTTTATATAGACCTAAATAGGAGTAAGTAAAATGGATACTAATGCAAACTATACAAAGACTGTTATAAATTTAAAATACGCATGCCATAATCTTTGTAAAGCCTGCTCCCAAATGCTTGCTTTAATTGTTCAAATACCCCATTGAGACAGAAATATCCTGAGGACTGAAAAAAGGCAGCCAGTTGAATCAGTATGTTTATCAGAGGAGTAGCCATCTGTTTTGAATTCCATTGCTTATAATCCCATTGGTCAGCTCACATTGGCATTTTGTGAGTTTTAAGCTACATATGTAGAAAGAGTATTCTGATGATGGCTTTGTGATTCATCAGGACGCTCAGTTTTGTTAATTCTTTCTTGGAACTTATTTTGTAACTTCCTAACTGTTAAAAGTCAGTGGTATATTAGGGCTTAACTGGAAGGAGGTACAGAGTACAGTAATCAACCCATATCATCATTATACAGAGTACAAAGGCAAAGGTAGATGATGCCTCTATTAGGCCACCAAAAAATCACAAACATATGCTAACTGTTGGCCTGTACAGTGGTGCCTCGCATAGCGAGGTTAATCCGTTCCAGATTAACCTTCGCTATGCTGAAGCATCGCTGAACGGGGCAGGGATTTCCATTGGAACGCATTAAACATCGTTTAATGCGTTCCAAATGGGCCAAATACTCACCGTTCAGCGGTGCTTCAGGATGGCCGGCAGCCATTTTCGCGCCCTCGCCTCGCTTAACGAGGGCGCGAAAACGCTCCGCGTGGCCATTTTGGGCCATTTCCAGGCTTCCGGCGGCCATTTTGGCTGCCGTACAGCTGATCGTCGGGGTTCGTTTTGCGAAGATCGGTAAGTGAAACGCTTACCGGTCTTTGCAAAGCGAATTTTGCCCCATTAAAAAAACGTTGAGCGATCGCATTAGCGATCCGAAAAAACGGATCGCTATGCGATTTCATCGTTATACGGTGCACTCGTTAAGCGAGGCACCACTGTATAGACATTCATTAGGCTGGGTACCATTTATATGTGGACAGAACAGAAAAAATACAAAGAGTTCAAAAAAACCATGGCTAGATGTGTGTGCCAAGGCTCTTTGTAAAAAGTTTGTTTCAAAATGAGAACCAGGCCAGGAATGTTGTTTTTAAATTCTGCCTCTGGCAATGTTGATTGAATTGTCCCAAAATTGCCAGACAGAAGGCTGCCAGCCACACAGCATTCATACCCCTTACCCCTTTCCTTATATTGAAACAAAAGGTGTGTGTATTTATTTGGTTGGGTGTTGGTTGACACAGAGATACAACAAACCTCTTATCAGAGACGTTGGGATGAAATTTAGGTTACCTACTTGTTGAGCTAGTTATTAAATTAATAGTATTACCTAGTGGCTGCAGAAAGATGTTATTCTCAGTTCGCAATCCTGCTTGGCAGATGTTTATTGTCCATGCTTGCAGGGTGGATAAAAACCAAATTCTGTTAAAAAAAAAAGATTTTTAAAATTGTGATTTAAATTAAATCCAGCATGCATGCTTGGTCACAGATGCTTGTAACTAAGTAAATCATTGTATTTGTCAGGATTCGAGAATGGGTTTCCCTGGGGAAGAAAATTACAGACTTTTAATTGCCGAACAGAAAAGACAGATTAAATATAAATTGTTGTTTTGTGCAAAAAAGATGGATTAGATTCAGAGGAGTGAAAATTAGTGGAAGAAATAGTAGTTAAAGATACAGTATGCTGATGATAACACTATGTTACTGATAGAAGGCAACAGTAACTTCAAATGAATATTGAGACAAGATTGCAGTTGAACCTTAAAAAGACAAAAATAATGTTTACAAAAGAATTGTATAACTTTAATCTGGTTGTGGTAAGAATAAGACATTGTTGTCTTCATACAAATTATTTTTATGAACCTCCCCCCAATTTTGACCTCTCTGATATTGTTCTCTTGCCTTATCTTCAAGGCTAAAGGATCTAATGTGATTGCAAATATAATAGGAGGGAGCCTTCTCTAAGCAAATCTCATGCCTGTCATATTTTGTAAGGCAGAAATATGTATAGTAAATACAGAAGAAAACATCTGCTACAAATAACTGTGCTCACAACCAGACATTCCTTTCTCAGGGATATATTTTGAGGCCCTGTGCCATAATGTCAAAGATAGTTGTGAGATGTATGTCTGTGTTAACAAGTAACAGTTTTAAGTAACCACTTGTCACAGGTTTTATCCCTTATGTCACTCATAACCTTGAGATGAATTCATATCTGTGATTGTCTTGTTAAATCAGTGGAATCTATCATATTAAATACAGTGATTTTCTTGTTCAGAGTATGAGGGTCAGAAGATAAAGTCAGAGAAATCTGCTTTCATAGGATTTACTGGATATCTAGGATAGAATCCCACCTATCTGAGCAGTTTTGAGGAAGAGGAGACAAATTTGACAAATAAAAGTGACTATTTGTGGGAAGGCTCATATATAGCTGCAGGAGAATAAGGGTCTGTCTAGCACTTGTCTGATAATTTGCTAAGAGAGTAATGTAAATGTACTGGAAAACTGGGAATGGAAAAATAGAGAATTCAGTTATGTTGATCCTCGCTGCTACTGCTTTGTGGTGATCTCCATTATAATAGATGTTATGTTCCGTCTTACCATGGTTTTCTTCTTTCTTCTAGGTGTAATCTGGATACAGTCATCTGGCCTACAGTCTAGTAGGCACCTGGTCTGAAAGTGTAAATTCTACCAAATGGACAATATGTCTATTACTAACACACCAACAAGTAATGATGCTTGTCTGAGCATTGTTCACAGTTTGATGTGCCATCGACAAGGAGGAGAGAGTGAAACATTTGCAAAACGAGCAATTGAAAGTTTAGTAAAAAAACTAAAGGAGAAAAAGGATGAATTGGATTCTTTGATTACAGCTATAACTACAAATGGAGCTCATCCTAGTAAATGTGTAACAATTCAAAGAACGTTGGATGGAAGGCTTCAGGTTAGTACAGACACACCTCCTACCTTAATACTGTTTTGGCTGTGTGAAAGAGAATAGGAAGAAGGTTCCCTCTAAGGTGTGTGGCTATGTGAGTATGTGTGACTCTGACCCCACTCCGCATACCCACAGCCATAGTTTCCAGCCCCTTTGGTTCTGGTTGTGATGGAATCCCATAAGGGGGTGGAGTCCTACCCTTGGGGACAGAGTGGAGTTGAAAAGTAGAGGGGACTTTGGGCAGGAATATGCTAAAGGAAGGATAATGGCAATATACTTCCCCTGTGAACCCGGAGAAATTAATGTAGAGATTTGTGAATGACATTGTGCTCTTGTGGTGTCATCTCATAAGACATAAAGTGTAGTGGCCTTTTGTTCACAGTTTATCAGTTTTTGATAATTTTATAGATGGTGCGCCCTCTGTTTCCTTCATATTTGAACGTTTCATGATTTTGAATCTTTCAGGTGGCTGGCCGCAAGGGTTTTCCTCATGTTATTTACGCAAGGCTATGGAGGTGGCCTGATCTCCACAAAAATGAACTGAAACATGTCAAATACTGCCAGTATGCTTTTGACTTGAAATGTGACAGTGTGTGCGTAAATCCATATCATTATGAGCGTGTTGTGTCACCTGGCATCGGTAAGTATATTTTTGATACTGTATAGATAGTGGTGTTAGGGATGAAACATTAAATTAAGTTTAATAAAAGGTTCTTCATTTTCCTCACTCACCAGAATGCTCTTCTGTGGTTTGTAGTTTCCTTACATGGCCAGTGGAATGGTTGTGCGTCGCAACTTTGAGGCTAGGCAAGAAACCGTTGCTCCAGAATTCAGTTGCATTTATTTTGGGAAATTAGCTTGCAAATGGATTTCACCTTCAGCAGCTGCTGTTTGCTCCTTTTCTGCTCTTACTTTGTTCCTTTTCTTTGCACAAATAAGCTTCTCCTTGCTGGGAGAGCTGCAGTTAAGAGAATAGCCTTCTCTGACATTTGAGGAACACCAGTTACTACCTCCTGATATGAAGGGGATGCAAGCCAGATTTTCTATATTATTTCCTTGAAACTAATATTCTGTCCTTAAAGGTTTTGTGGAGCAGGAGGGAGGAAGGAAGAGGTACAGAAGAGACATTTGAGTGTAAGAATAACATGAGCACAAGGTTTCTGTTCCTTTTTTTGAACAGAGCTGTTTGAAAGAACCTAGTACTTGGGGAGTTCCTTATTGGCCTCAGTTGCCATTGCATTCGTGCATTCTTTGTCTAGCTGTATCTTTGCTGTGAAAGGATTGCTTCATCAAGGTTATCTGTTCAATTGTGCTTCTTGACTTGTTGAGGTTTAAGGTTCATCCTGTTGCTGAACCTGGCTATGTCTTCCAGAGGATAGGCTGACTCTTAGCAGCCACACAGGCTGTTAATGTAGACTCTGTCAACACACTGTACAGTGCATTCTGAAAAACCTTTGGAAACTCTTTGGTCTCATGGGCCAACTCTCATTTTGAAATATCTTTAAAAATCTTTTAGGGTGGAAGGAAAGTTTGAAGGTGAGCCCCAAATTCTTACCTAAGAAGGACCCTGTTCTCCAGCCTTGGAGAGCTTTAATGAAAAAAGATTGCTGGCTGAACAAGAAAGTTATTTGTCATGACCTGGTGCCCTGTTAATGTACAGAGCCTCTTAGGGACCTTGCGGCACAGAGAGTAGAATTCCTGAGTAGAAACCCCTTTTTTACAATCACATCTCATGCTCAGTAGGCTTTCTGACTGCACTCTCCTCACTGTCTTTCATCTTCTGTACAAGCAGCTGCATTTGGAATATCCCTTTGCAGGCTGTTCGTTACCAGAGTGCTCATCATTAATTTTGTTTATTCCTTGCTTATTCTCTTTTTGTTAGATTTTTGCATATTCATTTGACAGAGCTGTTGAGGCCCAAGATAAAAGATGTGCCTCCTTTGGGGGAAAATGATGCCTCTTAATGGGCATTCAGAATGCTTGCTTTGCCTTGTGAAATAGCATCTTTAGGACTTCCACTCATTTTGCTAAATTTCACTAGGCAGGTTCTCCAGTATTCTTACTCTTGGAGATACTGCAGGTAATCATGGAGCGCCATTCCTCTAATGATGTTCTCCATGAAGGAGAATCCTCAGAAAGAGAAACCCTGGTGAAGTTATCTCTACCGATAACTAGACTGACATCTCTGATCATCATCTCTCCCCCCTCTTTCCTGTTTTCCTCAGTGCCACTCCTCTACGCAGAGAAATTACTCATACCATTCTGTTTGTTCTGAAGATTCCAGGAACTTGTCGTGGGAACTGCTTGGAAGCAATTATATTGACAGTCCTGCATTGAGAATCTCAGAGAACACTGTTTTAGGTTACCTTCATCTTACTGTTGAGACTTTAGATCGCCTCCTCAGAGAAAGGACTGTCAGCCTAACCAGTAGGCGAAAGACCATCTGACACCACAACTGCTTTCTTCCTCCTTAGATTTTTAGATTAGGCATCCTTCAGTCTAGAGAGATTATGGTAACATGCTCTGTATGAAGGACTTGGAACAGCGTCTAGGGTGGCTGAGAAGGCCAATTCGAGAGTGACAAACCCTTCCACACTGAAGACAAATACAATCTGTCCCTTGTCCAGCTCCCTGTTTTTTGTGGGTTCAGGACTGCCTCTTTGCCTCAGCCTGCTGGACAAGTGCTTCCTCCTATTCCCTTGCTTACTTATCCAAAACTCACTGTTTCTATGAAACAGTTCTAGGTTTCAGCCAGCTTATACTCTTTTATGACCTTTCTGTTCTGAACCAATTTATGGCATTTTAGGACGCTCACCACTGACATCAACATGAGTTACATTCTCAGTATGGCTCTTTCAGTAATTCTGGTAACCATGTTATTACCACTGTAACCTCATCAGTGGTTCTAGTCATTGCGCAAAGGGTTCTACAATTCACATTTGCTCCAGTATCCTCAGTTCTGTTGATCTCAGAAATGACACAGTTAAGCTGCTTGATCCTAACAATGATATTAATCCTTCTGATATGTGTTCTACATGTGATATGTGTCAGTCTTTTGTTACTGACACTATAATGAGTTCCTACAGCTGGCACATAGCAGTTCACCAATTAAATTATCAGTGTTGCCATTCTTGTCATCTCATACTGCCTCCATCATTTCATATGCAGTGAGAACTACAGAATAGGAATGCTTACCATCTTCTGATACAGAATAAGATTATGAATTGGGTTCATCATCAGCTTCATAACTCATAGCACCATCTGACCCTCTTGTTGGCAGTCAAACACCATGGACTCCTATCAGCAACATTTATCCCATATTAATAAAATACCTTTGATTATATGGCAGCGTCCCTCAGTTTATAAGTTAAAACACTTCCAGCTTCCTGTAACCAACTCTTTCCTGATGCATTCTGTCTCAGCTGAAGAAACTGGTCACAGTTCTGTACTGGATCAGTCATGGGAGAAACTCTTTTATGCCTTCCACTTTGAGAAATCTTGAGAATTCGCACAGAACCATGAAGAGGATGCAGAGTTACTATTTTGTCATCCAGAAAAGGAATTGTAGTTGAAGGTTGGAAAAAGCCTCATTTTACCCTAGTTGGTTTTGAATGCAGAAAATTAGGTGGAATTGGACATTTTATTTTGTGGCTACACTTTCCCTTTGCAGTTTCTTGTTACCAGACTGACATGGCAGTCTACCAGCAATATCTGTGGAGAAAGAGTGAATCTTTTTAAATTTAGAAGATTCCAGATCATTCATGTAGTATTGCCCTCATTTTTCAAGTGGAGATCTACCATTTAGGTGACTAACAAATTAATATCTCATGACTGTTTGCAGTTTCAGTCTAATGCTGGTACAGGGCTTTGCTTGGCATTGCTCAGTGTCCACAACTCAAAGTGTTGAGTGTGTTTCAATGAGAAAGTCTTTCACCACCAAGACTGATGATGTTATGGTGTTGAGTGTGTTTCTTTCAATGAGAAGGTCTTTCACCACCAAGACTGATGATGTTATGGGTCAATCACCTGCAGAATGGATCACAGCATGCAAAATGGGTGTGGGTGATCAAATTCAGGCATGTTGTCCACAGTAACAACATGTTTATTTTGATTTATATCCCCTTTTTCTTCAGAATTGGGACTTAAGGCAGCAATCTTGGTTGCAGTATTCAACAAGTCTTTGATGTCTACAGCATGTTCTTTTGTCTGGTTTCACAGTCTTGGGAACAGCAGAAACTTTCCTTTACACAATCTGAGCACAGTTTTGGTCCTTATAGAAAAAGAGGCACTTGCTTCTCATCTGCACAAGGCCACTACTTGCTCCCAGTCAACTATTGTTTGTCTGTTGTTCAGCTTAGTTGAGGTTGAAGGTTCTTTCTTTAGTATTCGTTTTACATCATTCTTTGACAAGGTAGCTCTCTAATCTTTCATCTGTGTGAGTCACAGGCACTACAAGAAAAACAGTCTGTTACCTGCAGGTGTAGTTCTTGGAATGGTCACCTGTAAATTCACACATCCTTCCTCTTTCCCTCTCAGATGTCTTACTCTTTGGAGGTAGACTTGGCACTGAAGAGAATGCAATGAAGTGCATTATTAAGCATATGTACTGAAGGTGTGGGCAAAATTCCTACCACAGTACTGAGCTCCAGAAACATCTGAGTGCGGCTGTACACAGATGCAAGACCCATCTGTGCAAGTTTACAAATAACTGCAGAACTATAGTTATAGATATACATCTGCTTGCTGTTATTTGAAGCTAACTAATAACTTGCCTTTTCCCTTTCTCTTTAAAGATCTTTCAGGATTGACACTGCAGAGTTCTGGTAAGCTTTGCTTGAATTTTCTGTGGAATATAAACACATAGTTTTCTTTGAAAAAAATATATACCAATTTAATTTTAAGGATATAGAAAATGCAGCTAAGAAAATTACATTTTTGCTTATAGCAGGGAAAATAATCCCAGTCTGTGCATGGTCCACAAGTAACTGTGGTCTTCCTTACATCTCTCTTTGAATGAAAAAGACATGAAGATAGAAAGGAAAAGGGGATAGTTTGGTACTGTTTTTAATGTGTGTTACAGAAATAAAGATAAAATAGGCATAAAACACAGATTACTGTTGTCAGTTGTCTATGCATTTTACATCACTGAGTCTGGTAGCACTAGGTTATATTGGCTGATAAAAAGCCCCCTTTAAAACATTAATAATGAAAAGTTACTTTAGCATTCTGAACATGTTCTTAACACGTTTTATTTTATCATAGCTCCCTCAGGCATGTTGGTGAAAGATGAATATGTTCATGAATTTGAGGGACAGCCATCGCTCTCAGCTGCTGAAGGCCATTCGGTTCAGACTATCCAACATCCACCAAGTAACAGGGCATCTACTGAAACCTACAGTACTCCAGCCATGTTAGCTCCTTCTGAATCTAGTACTACCAGCACCACCAACTTTCCCAACATTCCTGTTGCTTCCACAAGTAAGATAAATATGCCCATCTGAAATATTTCAACAGTCCTTGCAGCTTCTTAGGCACTCAAACATTAAAGGATGTTATTTATTTTCAGTTTTTTTATACCATTCCTCACTTGAAAAAGGCTCTTTGAAGCATATATAAAGATAGGCCCTCAACATGGTGTGATCTAAAAGGCACAACATGCAAATAAATTGTTTAGGAAAGATGAAAAGAAGAAGAATCTGAGGCACTTGATGTTAGTCACAGAGTTCTTGTAGATGTACAGTCTGGCATAGAAAGGAGGTTGGTTGGTTGGTTGTTAAATAATTCTTAAGCTGAATAGTAATTCAGATGATGTGTAAATATTGCTGGTGTTTCCCAAATTTTTCAGTGTTGTGTCAGCTTTTGTTTACCATTTCTCAGTGTTATTTGTTTGATTTATTTTTTAGTATTTATATACAATGGTGCTTCGACTTACGAACTTAATCCGTTCCAGAAGTTGGTCGTAAGTTGAAGCACCATTTCCCATAGGTATGCATTGAAACTCAATTAATCTGTTCCGACCGTTTTTGGTCGTTTCTCAAGGCTCCGGTTGCAAGTCAAAGCATTCGTTCCCATAGGAACAAATGGAAACACGGTTAACCCATCCACTACCATGAGGGGAGACTTTTTTAAACCTAAGATGACTTAGGTTAAAAAAGGGGGCAGGAAAGGAGGGAGGGAACAATGGGGGAAAGAGGAAAGAAAGAAGGTCATCACTGGGGCACACAGAACCGTCAGACAAAGGTTTGTGCTTTTTAAGCACAAAAAGAGAGAGGATAGAGAGAGAGGACAGTGGAGAGACTTTGGAGTCTAAAACACATTTTAAACCCACATATTTTACACCAACACCTTTTAAACCAACACCTACTGTGACCTCTCTTTTGTTTTAAAAGATGTTTGGTTTAAAAGATGTTGCTACATTTTGTATGATAACTTAAATGTCTGTTCTTAAATTGTAGCAATTTTCTTTCAAAATTATATGCTTTTCTTCCCCTCAAGCATCAGATTTGTGTTGCTTTATTTTACAAACAAGCATGCATGCATTTTTAAGTAGAAATGAAATATTTTGCATTTTGTCAGGTCAACCCACCAGCATGTTACCAGGCAGTCACAGTGATGGACTTTTGCAGATTGCTTCAGGGCCTCAGCCAGGGGCACAACAGAATGGCTTTGCTGCTCAGCCAGCTACATACCACCACAGTAAGTGCATATTAAGTCCAGTTCCATTACATGCAGCCAAAGGCCATTTCAGTTTAGTAGACATGAAGAGTCGGACACAACTTAACGACTAAACAACAACAAAAATTACTGTCTGTAAAAATACTCAGCAATAAGAAAGTGTAAATTACAGCCTGCTTTTAAACGCACTGGAACCATAGCAGGCTGTTTGCACATCAGATACACTGACAATATAAGTGATTTAAGAGTGTTTAAATCCACTAATTTTTTTTAAATTGTAATTTCCTGGCAGCTATGCAAATAATATTACCCTGTAGGTGGTATACTGTCTTTATTGCCTGAGCAGCAGAATTGAGTCTATAATGGACATTTTGTCCAACAAGTAACATACAACAATTCATTCTGATTTCAGCGGAAGCTACATTTCTATCTTGTCAAAGGGATACCCGAGTGTCTCCCTCAAGTTAAATGGAAAGCATTACTGAAATCTAAGTTGCACGCAAGCAGAGTAGAGGTATGATAGCCAGGAAGTGAGTAGAGCTCTAACTGTGGTGGGATTAGGGATGTGCATGTAAAGCCTTTCCAGAACCCCTTGAATATCAATCTGTGCATTGAGTGTAGAGGTCGGGGGAGGCACTTGCAAATGCATTTGTTTGAACATACATACAGCAGATCTGCAATCAGGTATGTTGATAAGGCAGAGCTTCCAATCAATAGTGTCACTGTAAGCATGTTCATTGAAGTACACAGACATATTTTAAGACATCATGCAGAATGTACAAGAGCTTCATTGGCATCTAGCGGGGACATTGGTGACATGACATACATGTTTCCCCACTGTTGTTGCAGCCTTACCTATGTTCAGGCTATATTGTCTGAATGAGGCTATAGGCTCTACAGATACAAGGGAGAGTCAAATTTTGAAAATAGTGTGCTCCCCTTAATTTTAGCATAATTAAGTAATTGTGTGCTATCAAAATGATTCCAGCTAATAATGATCCTCTTAGGATTTTTTGGTATAAAGTATTCAGAAGTTTTTTACCATTCTTTCCTCATTATGGTGCTCTGGAACTGTACAAGTTGCCAAATGCTACACAGGTAGCATGACACATAACCCTATCAGTCACAGCTTTTTTGTATGATATGAGCTGCTCCTCTTTCTAGAGAGGCACAGTGGGAATTTGGACTCTTAGCCTTCACTCTGCAACTGAGCACTCCAACCCACTGAGCTTCAACTTGTACTGTAGTTTCAGACACTCTAACGTGTGATCAAAATAGAATTCTAAAACTATTTTGCAATGCAGCTATTAATGTAATATAGGAACCTACCTTAATCTTTACTATCTAGACAACTGAAGTTAGAACAGAAAGCTCCTTGACACAAAGTTAATGTATAACAACTAGAAAGATTGTTCTCTTGCTTGCTTGCTTTTATATTTTGCTTGCACAAAGGATGTAGGTTCCATAGCTAATAGCCCAACAGGATCTGAGCCTTGATCAGGATGTTCCTGTCCTGCCCCAAGGCAGGCTGGCCCCAAAAGCAAGGTTTGGTTGGCAGAGGCATAGAGAAGGGGAGTTCCGAGTCAGGGTAAATTAATGCATAGGAAACAAACAGAATCCTGCAAGAGATTTAGAAACAAAGTGCAAGAGCAGTCCAGAGCAAGTTGATGTTCTTGCATCAGAAGACAAACAGGAAGGATTCAAGTAGCATAGTCAAATAGACTACAGAAGAGTTGGCAGCAGGGGCCACAATATATGGCAAGCAGGGTCTGGAGAAGGAAATGGCTCCAGCTAAGCTCCTACTCTTGCCTAACGTTGATGTAGTGAAGTTGCTAGAGGGGCATCCAGAGCTGAGCTGCAGGTTACGGCCCACTGGTCTCCCTGGAAGGAAGAGCTTTCCTTCAAGGAGAGTTCCTGCTCTTGAGGAGACTTCTGGGGGAGTCTCTCCCTCCAGCCAAGTTTTTCTTTTGGGGACTTCTAGCTGGGTTAGGCACTATCTCAAGCTCTTCTCAAGAGAGAGTGCATAGCTGGTTTGAGTGATCTGTCAGCCTAGGAAAGACTTCTGTTTACAAAGTCAGCATTGCAATAACAGTGGAAGAAATGGCAAGGTAGAAAGGTTGAGCAGGGTCCAAGGTGGTGGTGGGAAATGCTGGATCCTATTCTGCAGGATGCCTAGGCTTCCCTGTGCATTGCTTCAAGGACCCTAATAGTCCCTGTGTCAGGTCACGTACATGAAAGTTCTTGTTGGTGATGACAGCATTGCTGGCTTGAGTGGACACTCTACTTTCATAGAATCATAGAAAATACAATACAATACAAATTTATTCTATAGCCAAAGGCCCGATAAAGAATAATAGAACAGTGAAGTTGGAAGGGGCCTACAAGGCCATCAAGTCCAACCCCCTGCTTAATGATTATCTTTCTTGAATGCCTCCAGTGTTGGAGCACTCACCAACTCCCAAGGTAACTGGTTCCACTGTCGTACTGCTCTAAAGAATCTTAATAGCAACAAGGCAGGGATGGCAGCAAAGTGTTAAAAATATCAGCAAACAAATACAGAATCTAATCACATGCTCTGTAAGACCTCTGAGCTGCCTTTATCCATATAAAGAACATAGAAGCCTATATTATTTTTTAGAATGCTTTCTTTTTTCCTTTTAATGACTTAGGGACATTTCCACATATAGAAATCAATTAGACTTTTATTTTGCATTTTTGTTAAGATAGTACCACAACTTGGACTGGGAGTCGAACTGCAGCGTACACGCCTACCATCCCTCACCATCAGAATGGACACCTTCAGCATCACCCACCTATGCCCCATCCTGGACATTACTGTAAGCACCTGTGGATTGCTGCCTTGTGCTACACTGTGTGCAGGAATAAGGTTGCTGTGGGGAGGTCATTGTAGTGGGTAGAACAGGGGAATCTGGTTTTGAAATTCCTGTTCAGTTATGATGCTTCCCAACTTATCTTATGCTAGTTCCAGTTGCTCAGTCTGTCTTACTCTACAGCAGGGGTCTCCAAACTAAGGCCCGTGGGGCACGTCTAGCCCATCTTGTTGTTTTATCCCCTTAAACCCGTGTGCATGTGGGGGTGGGGTGGCATGCATACGTGCGCAGACATGTTCCTGTTCCTTCGGCCGTCTAAGATCTGGAAAGTATTTGGTGTGGCCCTCAGGGTAAAAAGTTTGGAGATCCTTGCCCTACAGAATGGGAGATGATTTTGTTGCATGGGAGATACTCTGAGCTCCATAGAGAGAGAGTGGAATATAAATGCAATGCAATAGAAGGAAAATGCCATGTTTTTCTTGGGCAAGGCTGCCCAGTACTTACTCTTCTGGTCAGGAAACTGTATACTCTGCATAGAAATAATTCTTTGAGGGAAGGTTGGCGTGCTTAACTTATAAGTCAGTTAGTCTTAAATTCTTAGAAATCCTTAAATCTGATCTTATATTTGAAGACTGTATTGTAAAAAAGCCCTATTGTTTATTTATTGTAATTATTAAACCTGAATTCTTAGTGATAATTTGTTTTTAGAGAATGCGAGAAGTTGTGAGGACAGTGGATAAACAACATTACTTTATTGTAATTTCTTTGAAGGGCCAGTTCATAATGAACTTGCATTCCAGCCTCCTATATCAAATCACCCTGGTAAGTGTTTATTCGTTTAAATAGCTGTTCTGTTGTTGCACTTGATGAGAATGTCAAATTGAATGATATTTTAACTCCCTTCTATCTGTTTCATTTGATACATGGCTATACTAAAGGCTAGATGTTTTTTTTAAAAAAACTTTAAGCATAACCTCATGGAGGGAATCCATAGCGTACAGGCTGGAACCAGCCTATGGGCCTTTCATAGGAATGTACTTACATTGCATCAGAGTGCTAATCTGTCTCACCAGGTATTGCCCACTTGGACTGGCTATAGTTTTCCATGGTTTCATGCAAGTGTGTTTCCTGATTCTACCTGAATTTTTCTAGTCATCTCTGATAATCTCTCATCCATGTGGTATAACCAGACCTGACTCAGTCTAGATTTTGAAATTAGAGGAGACTGGGCACGCTCAAGATGGTATGGTTTTACCATTTTGAGCTATGGGTTCCATTAATCGTGTATCAGTTGCTTTTAGTTTTGCATAACAAATTGGCCTTTTTAAAAGCCCCTCGTTGGTGTCAGTGAAGGGGTTTTAAATGATCCGATTACTGCTGGGGGTGGGGATGAGAATTTGTTTGTGCTTGAGGGAGGCGGTCCTAGGGAAGAGAAGGATGCTTTTTCTTGGGATGCTGCTTCATTGTGCTGTTCATTAAAATTTCCCCCTCCCCCCCAATTTAATCTTTGAGCACACTCTGACCTCCAGGAGATCTTCCGCCTCCTTCAATCCCCTCTGCAGTAGTTCAGGTTTTAGAACGTCTCCCTTGGTGCTAGAGGAAAATACTTAAAATCTAATTGCTGTGCTGGAGAAAATTAGGATGTCACAGCTAAATAGGAAATGTTAACTGTCCTTTGTTGCTCTGTCTCTGAAATTACACTTTCCATCCCCTTTAATGCACAGGAATTATAGAGTAGCAAATTGGGAAGGCAGCTGAGGAAAGAAGATGGGGTGGGTGTGCATGGAACCAGTTCCCTGTCCTCTTCCTTTGTTGCTTGTTCTTGTGATGTTGTTTGCATAGTAGTCGTCATCAAGTTCTTTCCCTACTCTTGTCCTTAATCTTTAGCTCCTGAGTACTGGTGTTCAATTGCCTATTTTGAGATGGATGTGCAAGTTGGTGAAACATTCAAAGTCCCATCAAGTTGTCCAATTGTTACTGTTGATGGATATGTGGACCCTTCAGGTGGGGACCGCTTTTGCCTTGGTCAGCTGTCCAATGTTCATAGAACAGAAGCCATTGAGAGAGCAAGGTATGTTGTTTGGGTTGTGGGACACTAAACACAAACCAAGGGGAAACACATTCACTTCAGAACTTCACATTCTGGGGAGGGGTGACCTTTAACTCAGGAATGATTCACACTTGCCTGGCTGTATTTGATTTATAGCAGGAAGTGATACTTCTGCATACATGAATGATATTGTATTACAGTAAAGCCAAATGTGCTGCTGATGTACACCTCATAGCTCTTAAAGGACTCTCTGGGCAGTTTACAATTTGATTATGCAAGCTGCCCATTTCTCCCATCCCCAGTGAGCTGGGGTGCTCGAGATTGAACTCAGCTTATGAGCAGAGTCAACTGCAGTACTTCAGTTTAACTACTGTGCCATGAGGCTCCTTGGAAACATGGGTTTCTGAAACATTAAAGAAGGCTGAATAAGAGTTCTTGATTTGAAACCCAATGTCCTGAATAAAACATTATTTTTCAAGGCATCTTTAAGGTTAAATTTCTCGTTATTGTGAGAATTGGTGCGTTCCCCATTTTTCTGTCTTCATCTTTTCAAGTCATATTCAGAACTGCTAGGAAAGCCATTTGAAAGATCAAGCAGTTGGAATCCACTGCGCCTGTGTTTTCAGTTTCATGTTAAGATTATAGTCATTATGTGCTTGGCAGTTTTCACAAAGAGTGCCTGTTTTCAGCATTTCTGAAATGTACCATGGAGGATGGACATCTTAGGGGGACCTTGTGAAGAAAAAGATGCATCTTCCCTCAAGAAGTGCTTACTCAAGAGCTTGTGAATAGGAAGTTGATTTACCCATTACTAGATTCTTGTGTCCCGTCCCCCCGCCTTTAATTGAACCCACTGGAATCCTCTTGTCTTTTTTACACAGGTTGCATATAGGTAAAGGTGTGCAGCTAGAATGTAAAGGCGAAGGGGATGTCTGGGTTCGGTGCCTCAGTGATCATGCTGTCTTTGTGCAGAGTTACTACTTAGATCGAGAAGCAGGACGTGCACCAGGCGATGCAGTTCACAAAATTTATCCAAGTGCATATATAAAGGTTTGTGTGAGATGTTTATTCTCTGTATATAAATGGAGAGAGAGAGACACACACTCTCTCTCTGTTGATCTGGCTGTTTTTCTTTTACAAGACTTTCTCTAGCTGTTAGTTCAAACAGTGTAGTAACATTCACTGTTGCAACTGGTAACGGGTGATGTACAGTGGAACAAGAGCTTTGTATTTTCAGTACCTTCTGTGCAACTAGGCTGTTGTGATTAATTTGATAGTAGTCTGACAAAAAATTTCTGCACAGGTTTTCTGTACCTGTCTCTAGGTGTGATTTACGTGATTTAACTTTGGTACTGTTGAACACCAGGTCTATAGCCAACAAGCCCCAGGTGATTCACAATCTTATCCTGGAGGAGAATGCAGACCTGACATGCATAACTGAGACGTGGATGAGCGGGGAGGGGGGTCCTCCCCTGGCTCTTGTCTGTCCGTCCGGTTATGCTGTCCAGCACCAGGGTAGACTGGAGGGGCGGGGTGGAGTAGCTATTCTTTATAAATCCAGCTTGGAGGTTACTAGGCACTTCTTGGTGGTAAAGCCGGGTCTAGAGCCACTCCACGTGTCAATTGGGGCCAGGAATGGTATTGGGATTTTGCTGGGTTACTGCGCTCCCCGCATCCAACCACTTCCCTTCCGGAGTTGACCGACTTTGTCTCCGTGGCACTATTGGGGTCCCCGAGGCTTTTGGTCTTGGGTGATTTCAACGTGCACGCGGGGGCAGAGACCACAGGGCCAGCTCTTGAGTTCTTGGAAACCATGGCTTCCTTGAACATGTCCCAACATGTCAACAGCCCCACCCATGTGGGTGGTCACACACTGGACCTGGTCTTTTCCTGCAGTTGGAGCGAATGTGATCTGGTGGTGACAGACCTCGTGTCAGTCCCCTTATCATGGTCAGATCACCACCTAATAAAATGTAACCTCACAGTGGCCCTCCCCCCTCGCAGGGAGCAGGGACCTATTTCTGTGGTCCGCCCTCGAAGACTACTGGATCCTGTTGGATTCCAGGATGTCATGAGAGGGGTGACGACTGACCTGGCTAGCTCTCCTGTCGACGCTCTGGTTAGCAACTGGTCTGCCGCCGCCACCAGGGCCATAGACATGATCGCGCCTAAACGCCCTCTCTGTCGTAGAGCTCAGCCAGCGCCCTGGTTTAACCAGGAGCTTCGAGTGATGAAGTGAATAAGGAGAAGGCTAGAGCGTAGATGGAGGAAGAACCCGACAGACCATAACTGGATAGCTGTTATGGTCGCAACTAATCTTTACCTAAATAAGGTAAAGGCTGCATGTCGATCATTCTTCGCTAACCGGATAAGCGAAGCGTCGACCAGCAGGCGGGTTTATTCCGTATAGTGTGCGACTTATCTGGAACTGGTTCAGGTGATAGGCCTCTCCCTAGTTTTTCCCCTGACCAGTTTGCAGCCTTTTAAAAATCTAAAGTGGAGGGCATCCGCCGGGAGCTCTCTCCATTTTTAAAAACAGTGAGTCGAACAGAGATGTCCAACGCTCCATCTTACCCGGTGACTTTTGATTCTTTTCAGCCTGTAATGCCTGATTCCGTCTACAGGGTGCTTGACCGCTGCTGAG